TTGCCATTTAAAAAAAAAAAAGTTCTCCCCTACCTCTGATATTGTATTTAATTTTCTCAAGTTTTAAAAAGAAGACCAAATCTTTGAGCCATAATGAAATAGAGAGGGGTTGTGGGGAGGTCCAAGACAAAAGTATTCTGCGCCTAGTTAGAAGAGATGCAAAACCCACAATGTCAGCGTGTCTCCGGTTTAAGGGTTGACACTGAGAGGGAACACCAAAGATCGCGATTAAAGAGCAAACAGCTAACTTGACCCCCAGAATATCTTAAACAATTTTAAAGAAAGTAATCCAGTTATTTTGCAACTTGGGACAAAATACAAACATATGACTAAGGTTACAAGGTGGTAGTTTACACTTATCGCACATATCAGAAACATTGGGATACATTTTAGAAAGTTTGGCCTTTGAGAGAAGAGCTCTGTGTATCGTTTTAAATTGTATAAAACTGAGTCTAGCGCATGAAGTGGATGTGCGCACATTGTCCAGTACTGCACTCCAGTAGTCAACTTCAAACTCTAAGTCAAGTTCCTCTTCCCAGGCCCTGATAGCTTTATTGTTATGAGAATTATCCTTTGACAAAATAATATATTTGCATATCTTAAAGATGCAGTATGTGGCATTGATTAATTATTGCAGTCTTAATTCTAACATTGGAGAGGGCTTTTTGCACCTGGCCTGTCTGTTGAGCTCCTCTGGGTCTGCTGCTATCCTCTGGAGGTTGCATTTTAGCATTGTTTTTCTCATATGTTCACTTACCATGTTTCTTGGTTATGTCCATATAGAGATAGACATTTGAGGTAAACGTATTCGATAACAAATCATAGACACCATTAAGGTGTTTATTTGCTGTTGTGCAAAGAACTGCATGAACATAATGACACCTTGTTTGTTAATAGCATGCCCTGATAAATATGTGTGAAAAGGAACAAATGTTGTTGACATGATACTGTCCCACAGCGTTCATTTTACCAATAAGCTGCAGTCAAGCATATGTTTTAAGTTCATTTTTGCAATTATACTAAAATGTATTGGCTGAAGCTTGTATTTTCTGTGTTCAATTACTGTTTCAAGACATATGTCTGTTTATTTTTTCTGAAGATTCTATTGGGTTTAGGACTAGTTTCTAGTTACTAGTTACACATTTCAGCCCTTGTTTTGTTTGCTAATTCCAGAACGACATTTTAGAGTGAGTAAAATACTTGTGTCTGTGTATCGTATGGCAGTATTTGACTCCAGCCAATTAACAAATCTATAAATTTAACCACTTCAAGAATACCAAGTGCTTTAGTAAATGCCATCCCCACTTATCCTGCACCGCCAACCATGCAACTCCTCTACCACCTCACCTGCATCCCTAGCAGACAGCCAATCGCATCGCAACCCTGCGGACTGAATTCTAATGAGTTTATGTGCTCAAGATTTGACTTTTACTTATGGTTCTTACAACCATGTGAAGCATTCAGCAGCCACTGTAGGAGAAACTGCTTTAAACAATATAAGAAAAACATGACTGCATTAGTATTATACAACATCTGATCATCTATGAACAGAAAGTTAGCAATAATCATTTTTTGGTGGGTGTGGGGATGGGGGATTATACAGTATAATCAAAAACCAGCTTTTCTCTGGTGCTGCTTTCTGTGACGAGCATTATAATTCCATGAGCACATCAGCTTATAAATGACAGGACACTGGGAAATTGACTAGGCGGGTTGCCTTGGATACGGCTGCCCCTAAAACACTCACAGGACTGAATACCAAATAGACTTGGAGAGCCTATATGTGAATAAATGAGATTGCTGATGCAAATAATAGAATGAGGGGGAGAGACTGATGCACAAACACAAGGAACCAGAAAAAAATGTAATATATTTCTGTTAAGGAAGACCACTGCCTTGATATTGAATATCATGAAATGTCCTGACTTAATAACATTTTATTATGTTTTTGATTTGGTTCCTCTGGATGCTTTACACTAAAAGAAAATCAAATAATAAAAAAGAAAAGTTTGATTAAAATATAGTCACGAAATACAAAGGATTTTAGATAGGCAGCACTGGCTAGCTGTAGGTAATGTTATAGGCTGTTTTTGCTTTACAAATCTTGCCTATACACCTCAACGATGGTTCTTTAAGCTTCTTTAAACACAATAACAATACCAATTCTATTTAGAATCACAAATGGTGTGTGTGTGTGTGTGTGTGTGTGTGTGTGTGTGTGTGTGTGTGTGTGTGTGTGTGTGTGTGTGTGTGTGTGTGTGTGTGTGTGTGTGTGTGTGTGTGTGTGTGTGTGTGTCCGCATGTGTGTTTTCTGATAAGAAGCTCAAAATTCCACACCTTCAACAAGTGAATGATTTTATTCCACTTTCCACTTTTTAGCAAATCAATTTCAAAACTGTAACTCCTTTTCTACCAGCTGTGTTTTTTTTTTTCATTTTTATCTTAACAGAACATGTTTGATAAGCTCTGTATAACTTAGCATACTTCATCTCCTAACAGGCAGGTAACAGAGATGCTGCATTTATGATCCTGTATAATCATAATAATATCATATAAATAAGATTCATTTTCCTTCAGCTTAGTCTCTTCAGAGGTTGCCACAGCGGAATGAACCACCAACTATTCCAGCATATTTACAAAGCGCATACCCTTCCAGCCACAACTCAGTACTGGGAAACCCACTCGGGATTCGAACCAGTGACCTTCTTGTTGTAAGGTGACAGTACTAACTACTGAGCCACTGTGCCGCCCACATAAGATTCATGTATACTCATAAAAAGCATGAAAGCTATGTCACTTTATGTTTTAACACCGTGCTCCCATTTTATAAATTTTTGTTGTCAAATCCAAGAAGCTAGTCTGGTCATCTGCAAACTGCCACCCATTTATACCAAATTAAACACATAGCCTATGGACCAAATGCATTATAGAGAATATATCATTAGTTTACACTATCAGTTCTTTATGTGTTAATTCATATTCGGGAGAAGTTGTTGTGAATTATACAACAGTTCTGTCTAGTTCTTGAATCTGATTGGCTGATAGTTGTGTGATATTGTGCAAAATCAGCACTCTTACAGCTTCCTCACTCTTCTGTATTACTCCGCCCACATAGAGTGACAGTAGATCAATAAACTCACTAAAGCAAATATTGCAGCTGTTGGACAACATAATGTGCTTTGAGGCTTTTTCAGGTGATAATGTAGTTTGGATTGCATCTATGCAGTGTATTAATAAGGAAAGTGCCTATTTTTAGTATTTATAATTTCACAGATACAGCATGTCAGCATCCGTCATCGTGTCATACTGAGCAGAGTAAAGACGGTTGATGTTCTGCCGCAAGATGACGACAGAGACCTTATAATAAGAGGGGAAAACCTCAATTTAATTTCTAACTACAGCTGATCATTAACCTGGTAACTTTCGTAGTCAACCTCTCTCTTTTTGTATGTTGCAGTGCTGTATTTATAACATGTAATTTTAGTGTATTGAGTGTGAGATGGCACTCATATATCAGGAATGTATGTATTTTGTGTTGGCCACTCTTTGTATAACCCTGACTTACTTTTTGTAAGTTATCTGTTATCTGTTTGTTTCTAATTTGTCACCTTTTTTCGTTACTGTAGAATTGTTCAGTAAAAAGAAAGTAGAAATGCTGCATGTGTTTAGTGCTTTTCCTTATCCCAAACACAACAGTAATCTGATGGTGTTTGCTTTGCTTCGGCTTTTTTGTGGTTAATTATTGTGATATCCTGATTGCAACAGAGAAATACTGGAACATCTCTGTAGACTGATGGCATTTCATGCCGTTCAGCCTTAAAATCTTAAAATGTGAGCAAAACCACCTGTTTTGCTGCCGATGTGAAGGAATGGTGGAAGACAGTAGTTATTCATTCAATTTTTAATTGAATTTTTTATATACACATTTAATCAAATTAATCAAACTGTTGTATAAATGCAATATCACACTAGCAGTGGCAATGCGATATGACAGGATATCAGTAAACAGCCACATTGCACTGCTATTCGTGTGATATTGCTCATTTATTAATGTATTTATCTAATACCTGTTGTTAAACCAGTCATTTTCCTACAAGTTTACATCAATAAAATTAAATGTCACAATTAACAAAGATGTTAAACTTTTACTTTAATGGTAAAATTAATGTTAATGCAATATATATTATGATAACTTTTTATGGTAAATAACTACATTTTTCATCACTATATTATAGCAGCATTTAACCTAGAGACTTCACATGTGCCAACGATGTTGATTAAGACTGAAGAACTTATTAAAATATAGATGACAAAATGATTTGTGAATGTTGTTTTGTTGATTCTAAAGAGGCCCGAGAGAATAAATATGAGTCAAGCTCGTGACTCACACCATTAACTGGCTTTACTTCACAAGGCTTTATTATAAGGTGAGGTTTTTGGATAATTACAGAATCTTAGAGGTTTTGGTCTCTGTCAGGGTTTTGTGACACGGTCAAACTGACCAAAGTTTTGCTGATGTGGTTGGCAATTCTTTTAATTCCAGACTGTAAAAGAACAGCAGGGTAAAAATAAATACACACAGCCCACTGTAGAGTACGGACGTGTGCGTGTGTGTGTGTGTGTGTGTGTGTGTGAGAGAGAGAGAGAGAGAGAGAGAGAGAGAGAGAGAGAGAGAGAGAGAGAGAGAGAGAGAGAGAGAGCAATCTGCAGCGTCTACCGCCTCCTGTGGTGAAATCTAAGTACTGCATGTCTGTCTGCTCCGGCTGTCTAAACGTCTGTCTTTCTTTGTGCAGATTTGTGAATAGATTACCACCAAGTTTTGTATATTAATTACATAATACAGTCCTTTTATAAGCTATACTTAGTATATAAATTCTAAGAATACGTTAAAAGCACTTTTACACACGTAAATGAGAGTTACGTATGTGTGTAATGCGGAACTATAACGTCAGCGTTGTGGTTCAGTACGACAAATATTTGGTGCGGACTCAGTTGCCAACCTTCATCCTGGGCGAAGAGCTGCAGGTAAATATTTAACTGCATAAATGCTTCAGTACACCACATCCATCCGAAACATAAAAAACGAACCCAGCTTCAATCAGCGATGCTAGTAAACCTGCAGGATTCGCGGATATTTCGTGGACTAACTGCGAATTCAGAGGCCTGCAGTACAGCTAAAGCTTATCGTCGAGCTAACGTCAGGTGACTATTATCGCTTCCCTAAATCGTTTTATTACCTCTCTTTTATTGTTTGGTTATCTACGTCTGAGTTGTGCTGGTGTGATGCTTAAGGTTTTAGAAAAGGTCGTCGTTTGTTAGTTCTGAATTGTTAAAATCAGTGTTAATGGTGATTTCAGAGTCATGTGGTTTCAGTTCCTGTTATGAGACACGTTACTTGATACGACCTGTCATTTTCTTTTGTTTACTGTACATGACATGTCACTTAGTGAATGTCCTATCACGTCGACCAACGAGGAATGTACAGCTGTCAAGACTGACTCAATTCTTGAAGCCTCGTTGTTGTTGTTTACATGTGACGTGAAACCTGCAAAAGCGTTTATTTATGTGAGCTTCACGAGTTTAATAAAAGTACAATTTAATGCATGTTATAAATCTGTTATTCTAAACTTGAATTAAAACCATAAACATATTTTATTATATAATAAACGTCAACTGAATTAACAAAAAGATATTATTTATACTATATATTACAGCTGAACGATATTGGAAAAATCTGACATTGCGATATTTCTTTTGGGTGCGATATATATTGGGATATGAATTTAATTTCACCAGATGATTTGAATGGCTCTATTTGGAAAGATTTCATTTACTTAGATCAACTCGGCAAATTAATTATTTTCCTGTGCAGATTAAAACTCAAAACAATAAAACAAATACAAAATTGCTTGTAGATTTATATTTCAAATGCAAATCAATTCAAATCCATACTCAAATTATACTAAAATCAAATGCAACTAAAAATGATTTATTTTGTCATGAATCAGTATAGCTCATTTGTTTTCAGTCTGTTATTATATCAGTTTTTTACAACTTGTGTGATTTATTTAAACTGTTGAATTTGTAAGGGATGCTCCAATCAAGTTTTTGCAGCCGATACCAAGCACCGATTCCTTGTCATGGTGATCGGCCGATACAGAGTACCGATTCTGATGCTTCAAGCTTTATAATGCATGAATCACATTTTCCCTCAAAGTATGATACTTAAGTGGAGATCTCTCCTTACCTAAAGCAAGAATTTAAGTATGCAGCATATAGTCTCTTGAACACATCTCTTATAAAGATGTAGGTGTGATTATGTCATGGCATGAAGCAGCTTCACAAAAAATAATAGATAAAGCAGCTCAGGCAGCTCAAAACACTGTATATAAATAATATATAAAATAGCTGCAACAAAGAGACCATCACTGAAGCGAGTCTTGCCAATAGACTGTAAACAGAGGTTGCTCCACATCTGTATATGTTATACTTACATTCGCTCTTTATGAGATCAGCCAGATTGGCAAGTATCTATTGAGTCATTAAATGTGATTATCGGCCAATAACAATCTCCAACTAATCGATTGGAGCATCCCTAATTTTAAGGCGCTACTTGTATGGTAATTTTATAACAGATTTACTATGGCGGAACAGCATTTAAACTTCTGAATAAAATAAGTATAAAGTATAAAAAACTAATAAAAAATAGGTTAATAAATTGCAGTTTGTATAAATTTTGAGAATATTTCACTTGCATCACACTAGGCATGGGCCGGTATAAGATTCTGATGGTATGATAGCCTTGGATAAAAATATCGGGATATCACGGTATTGTGATTACAGCTTTAAAATATTTTCTCTTTGAATGTTTGGTTAAAAACAACAATATATTTCATTTTAGGAAAAATTCGTAATATTTTGGAACAGTAAACATGTCAGGCTAAATAATTAAAATAAATCATTGACTTCTGCTAACTTCATTAGTTTCAAAAACACTTATTTCTTCTCAAAACATAAAAAAACTAATAAAAAACATGTACTGTAGGAAAGATATGACAGAAAATTTGACTGAAGCATTTATAGGTTTTCTATTTTTTTAATAACCGTAATGAATGCTGATTAATTTAAGTAATTTTAGTTATAATTTTAGTAATATTACAATGACTACAATGACTATTTGACCATCAATATGTATGCTATATTATGCTGTGACTAGTAGCACTAGTAGTACAGTGATGAGCAGTGTTGGGCATGTTCCTTTAAAAGAGTAATTAGTTATGGTTACTAGTTACTTCTCACAAATAGTTGAGTTACATGATTATAAAAGTAACTAATTACTAAGGAAAGCAACTATCATGTTACTTTAAAAAAAATCTAGTTAATTTGTGAAATGACTATAAAATAAATATAAAACATTGTACACTAATCTACACTATTTTAATGTTGTGGGACAATGTGAGAGACAATGGCAGCATGTCCTCAACTATATATCTAGAAATGGTTTTTGTTTCATTTTGTTTGAGTAATAAGTGTTTGCGGTGGAGAAAAGTGAAGTTTTATTTGCTTTGACGTCGTGGCTTTGTCTCCTCTCTTGGTATCACAGCGCACGTTATCACCCGTGCAGTCACTAATGGCCCCTTTCCATTAAGTGGTATAGTACGGTACGGTACGCTTTGGTTCGGTATGCTTTTAAAGTGGTGTCCACTGTCAAAGCATGCCAAAAAGCAAACTGTACCCTACCACTTTTTGGGTGCCCTTTGCAAAGGGGTAAACCTTAAAACCGGTTATCATCCCATGCCTACACACACATAACATTAACTTTACCTCACTGATGATGATGCTGCTGATGATTAAGATGAATAATTCTGTTGCAGCAGGTGGAGGGATGAGCCGCTCTCCTGTGACCGTTCAGGATGTGCCGGAAGAAGCAAGCAACGGTGTGGACTCCTCTGAATCTCCTAAGGCCTCTGATTGGTCAGGACCTCATGGCTTCACCCCCCAGGCATTAAAGTTGAGGCACGGGGATGATTTTGAGCCTCACGATGATCAGCCTGCTCTATCAGAGACTCGTAAACACACACCTCACCACACGGACTCATGTAGAGACTCACACACAGATCATTCAGAGTCACAGATTCAACACTCCCAGTGTGCACATAGTTCAGACGAAGAAGACACACATGAGAACACACACTCCTGTGAGACTGAGCTAACACACAGTCATTATGAAGGAGAGCCGGAAGACTGGAGAGGAGAGGAAGAGGAGAAGAGACAGACAAGTGATGGAGAGGTGAACAATGTCCAGCAAAGGAAAGAAGCTCTTGTTTCTGTACAGGTAGGAGCTTGAGTAGGAATATGCTCTTTTGTACTTGCTTAATTGATAGTAAATTTATGTATTATATTTATGTCCTGTGAACTTTCTTGTATAATAAATGTTAAATACCAGAGTATTAATAATGTATTATTGTGTTAAATTTAATAAATAGTAATTAACTAATGTTTATATATGCTTTATGCTTTGGTAATCAATTTAAATAAAAATATTTATTAGAATTATAAAGAATAATATAAAAAATATATTAAAATGATTTAAGCTGCACCTATTTCACCCCCTTTTTTAAGATATAAGATAAGCCTTTGGTATCTCCAGAATGTGTCTGTAAAGTTTCAGTTTAAAATACCCATCAGATTATTTATTATAGCCTTCAGAATCTGCCCATTTTACGTGTCTGAGTACAGTGTAGTTGTTTTTGTACCCTGTGGCTTTAAATGCAAATGAGCTGCTTCTCTCCACCCACCGCTTCCACGTGCATGTCTGCTTCTCCTGCGTTACATCAGATAAACAGCAGTCAGTGAAGGAGACAAATACGGATAAAACTGAAATAAGTTCACTAATCAAAAATACCAAGCAAGTTTATTTCATATATGTGCAGTAGTTTATTCAAGCCTTTTTCAAATGATGAGTCACACACAAATTGCAATACAATCATTACCAATTGTAGTACACACAGACATGCACACAAATATATATATATATATATATATATATATATATATATATGCTCTTTTACTGACATCATGCGGCCGTCGTAATTATAGTGGTTAATAATTAGATAGCGATTTTACTGTCTTTATGACAAACATGCTCTGTTTTAAAAACATTTTAAACATATACAAATCACAGAGAGTTGGAACCGATTTTTTAATCCCAGTTTCTTTGCATAAAAATGTGTGTACATGTTATCATAGAAAAATGGCTCCTGTCAATCAGTTCAGTGGGTGGGGAAAACAGCACTCCATATATTTTTTTTAAATCCATTAAATTTATAAACTTCATTCAGTTATTTAACTTGTTTAAATAATGATACTCTGATCTTCACTTTTACAGCCAATTGGAGCACTCTCAACCGAACACCCTCCCACTCACTCCGAAATTGAGGAATGGTCCAATCCCAATTCTGTAGACGAATTCCAACCAAATACTTCCATTTCTCCAGATGAGGCACCTCCCCTCGTCCCAGCCCCACCTCCTGACCAGGCCACACCCCCTCCTCTACTGCCAGATCTGGATGATTCTCCGTGCCCGGCTCACGTGATGGCAGAGGTGCGTGTGCGCTCTGTTCCGGAGCGGGAGCGAGTTGTGCGTGGCATGCAGGACAGTAAGAGTCTAGATGAGATCAGCGGGGCGTGTGGAGGCGGGACTCGAGGAGGTGGAGCTAGAGGAGGACAGGCAGAAGGACGGAGAGCCACTATATCTAGTGCTCTAGAACTGGAGGGAACCGTCAGCCATGATGGAGATCTCACACACTTCATCACCAAAAACCTTGAACAGAAGATTAAAATGAGCTCGCGGCCGAGTCTGGACACAGACTGTGAGTATTTGAGGGTCAAAAGTAGTGTTTTATCTAGAGATGCACCGATTTTATGGCCAGTATTTAACATGCATTATTTCATAATGGTATAACAAGTACCATATAAACATTTCTGAAGACAGCAGATTTCCCTCATATATAGATGTTTTAAGAAAGCTCCCACTAGGACTGCACAATATTGAAAAGTAATCATTTGCAATAGTCACATCTCAATGAATATGCAATATGGATTTTAAAATCATTCAGTCATAAGAAATTGTACAGTTTGTAACTTTTAATAACAACTAATTTGATAGAATTTCTTTATTCAACAAAGACTATGCACTATTATTTTACATTAGATCATTCAATCACTGTATCTTATTACTGTTAGACTACTCAAAAAAACAAAACACTATTTATTTTGTTTGTATATTTTTCTTTATTGTATTTATCTATGGTTGTATTTTATCATAATTTATGCTGATGCACTGCCCTACAGAATCATCCCAATCAATCTAAAATAATAAATGATTTCCAAATATAGATATTCAAGTCATCTGGTGAAATTTTATTCAAATCACAATATATATTTAGTAGTATAACAAAATATCACAATGTTACGTTACATTTTTCCAGTTTCGTGCAGCCCTAACTCCCACACTAAATCAAGATTTAGGAGTATCTTTCAGTATTCCACAGTATTTCATGTTTTTGTTGGGTCAGTTTTTCAAACGCACCATAATCTGTACATTAGATGAATTCAACAGATGCACAAGTATGCTGAATGAAGCCCGTGTTTAGTATATTAAGTATGGATGTTTTGGAAAAGCTTTTAAGCATTGCCTTAAGCTATACTTGAGCTATATTGAAAATTGCCCAAACACAGAAGTCGTATAGCTGCATTCTTTTCCTTTAATGTAGGAAACAATACAGAATTGCAGAAAAACGTAATTTAAGAATCTAAATATTAGTAAAGTGCAGAATATTTTATTTGTATTTGCCTAACCATTTATGTGTGGCATCTGTGCTGCTAGTTCAGTACAATATAGGCGCTTTTCCACTGCGTGGTATATTCCGGTGCAGTGTGGTATGGCTCAGTTTTAAATGAAGTTTTAATGAAGTTTTAAATAAGCTTTGCCGTTACCAAAACATGACGTATACACACTGTTGATCCCAGATTGTTCAAAGAGATTCTTCACTACCAGCATCATTGGATTTGTGACACAAGACATCACGCTTCCTTTATTTAAAGTCAATTGTTGCTGTTTTTTTAACGCACATCTAAACTATTTAAAGGGTCACGAAACACCAAAACACATTTTTTGAGCTGTTGACAGTCGTATATGTGTCCCACACTGCTAAAAACACTATTAGGACCCCTATATTTCACTAAAAAGTGTAAATTGGTTGTTTTTGCGTTATTTCAAGCAAATTCGTACTTCCTGTTTGAAACGAATTTTTGAAGCTGCGTCACGGTCATGACATAATAGCGTGTATTCCAGCGTGCAGACTGGGCGTCTGTGCCAGAGTGAGTCTTATTACTTCTTACAGTGTGTTGCATTAATGCATGAGTAAGGCTTGGTTCAAACCAATCAGCGCGCTCTATTGTGCAACTTCATTAATATTCATTAGTGTCACCGTGTTAACGCCACCGAGACGCCACGTTGTGTTGGCAAAACAAGCGTGAAGTGTTGCTTTTATAGTTTGTTGCCATTAAGTTTCGTTTTCATTTTCTCTCTGTGAGAGCTCAGCTGGATCATGTGTGGATTAACACTGTACGCGACGCTCGACAACAATAACTTACGTGTCTGAGGAGGAACATTGTTTACCTGAGATCTGTTCTCATCTGCAAACGCTGAAATCCGGATTCGCTTGTAACGTTAGTCTCCTCTACATAAAGACGCGGCTCTAGTTGCTGGTGATTGTCCTGTCTCTACAGATTTGGTAAGTGAGCGACCAGTGCTCTTTGTTTATTCAGTTTGTTCGTATCGAATTAAGTTAACTATTGCACTGAGTGCAAACATAGCACCGCATTTTGTGACCGGAATAACACACGCGGCTTTCTGACGCTACCTGCCGTGTGCATCTAAGTTTTCGGGAAATGCAGAGTTTTTTTTCTCTTTATCAAACATTGCATGAAAAATACACGCTTAGAGCAGATCCTCGAATCAAATATCTCGTTTGTCGCGAGGGGCATGAATGAATTCCCTGAATGAAAGAGCCAAACTGCAGTTAAAGTCCAACATTTAATAATTTGGCAAATAATTCGACTACAGATGTCCATGTAGGTTAAACACCATCACTTTCTCATGTGTGTGTATTTTGACTGAAACTCGCGCGTGCCCAAATATACACTCCCACACCATCCCTCTTTAGTTCCTCCGACACTCCCCCCTAAACAGAGCTGGACATGCCCACATTTCTGACTTATTCCAAAGTAGAGGTGTGAAAACACCCTGCTGAAACGAGGGGGTTTCATGGCCCTTTAAATTCCACTGCAAAAAAAAAAAAATGTCAGAATCATGGTTAATAGAAAAGGTCCAGATGCTCCCTTGGTAGCTTAGAAGAAGATGGAACTACCTGTGATGAAAAAAGTTTTTTTCAGAAAGTCTTGGCTGTAGAGGTGACACAGCTATAGGGATAATCAAAATATAGAACACTTTAAGCAGTACTACAACTGCTTAAAAGTCGAGCAGTATCATACCATGCAATGGTGAAGTGTAAAGTGTCTGTTGGTGATTCTGTGCTTTATCTCTGCCCTCTAGAATATATTACAAAGCTGCAGTTGCAAAGAGACCAGCAAGTGAAAATAAACAAACTGCACATTCTAATTTCTGGCGGTGCATCTCGTTTTATCTGTTAAAATAAAATGATGTAAATAATATTTGATTTGTGTTTGACTAATGCAGCGGACTGTTCTGGACCTATCACACGTGGTCGTGGCTCTTTACGTCGTCCAGCTGATATACCACCAATTGACCCATCGGTGCTGGTAGACCTGCATAAACACACACAGGACGTGGCGCAGAGTGTTGAGCTGATGCTGAGAAGCCTCAATGGAACTATACAGAATGTGAGTGCCTTTCCAGCTGTAACCCAGTATTGGGGAAACAGTTACACACTCATACACTATGGCCTATTTAGTTTATTCATTTCACCTATACCGCACGTCTTTGGACTGTGGGGGAAACCAGAGAAAAAGTAAAATATACATAAAAATATAGAAATAACCGACATTAAACCTTTTTTTGGGTGGGGGGTTGAAAATACTAGTGGCCTAAGACTCTTGCACAGAACTGTGTATATATAGATATATATAATTTTCTCTTAAAAGTATTTTTATTGAACATGGTAGATATGAAATATACAGTAGAAATAGCTTTTCACTTTTTCTTTTACACAACAAACAAAACCCGTCGCACACATATACATTTAGATTCCATAAAAATATAAAAATAATATCAAGATAAAATACAAATAAATAATAATATTAAGTAAAACATATTTTACTCTTATATATAAAAGGAGAGGGAAAAAAGAAAAATAAATAAATAAATGAAATAACATGGAACATACTCTTCTTAAATGACTGAGGGGTCCATCTTCTTTACGTTACGTAAAACGTAACGTAATATAAAATAAAAAATATATATATTTCTTTGATGGTTATTTTTTCACAAGGCTGCAGTTATTTAGTAAAATATGCAGCAAAACTGTGAAACATTATTTCAAAATCAATAAATGGTTTTCAGTTTGAATAGGTTTTAAAATCTAATTCGAAGCTGGATTTTTAGCGTCTTTACTTCAGTTCTCCTCAGTGCCACGTTCATTCAGAAGTCATTCTAACATTCTTGATTTGATGCTTGTGAAACATTTCATATTATTATTATAATGTTGAAAATAGTTGAGTTGCTTAATAAATATTTTTTTGGTGGAAGCCTCGATGCAATTTAAATTTTTTTTATAGCAGAGTAAACTTCTTAACTGTCAATTTTGATCGATTTATCGTGTTTGTGGAGAATATAAAAATTTTATTAACTGACTCCAAACTTTTTAACTGGTAGTGTATAGTTTACTTCTGATTATAGTAAGATCTCAAAGGTCAAATATGTGCAGAAAAGCACAAAAATCTTACATTTTCTTAAACTTAAAAGCTCCATAAACTGACGTAGATCAAATAAGTTTTTCAGTTTTGTCTTAGAGAGCAAGAATGGGTGTTGTTCAATAGTTTCAGCACAACTTTGATAAAGGGTTTTGAAACACTTCAAATATTCACTACTATATACGCAGCCCATAAAGACCCACAATGTTCTCATATCTTTTTTTTCTGTCTAGATGACTGCTTTAAGTGTGGGTTATATCCAGACATACAGAGATTCTGTGGATAGTTTGGGAGAATCAGTAGACATGAGTATAAAGGTGAGAGTGACTTCAAAATATCTAGTTAATTTAATATTCTCTTCATATTTACTATCTTGATCTTTGTGTTTGTATCTTTTAGGGAATGTACACGCTCATGGCCCGCTGTGAGGAGCTGGATCGCTCCATGCAACCTATACATACTCTAGCTGCTCAGATCAGAGACATCAAACGAACCCTTGACGCCCTGGAGACCATCTGCAAGTAGCTATGGCAACAGACCACACCCCCCCTTGACTAAACAGGGACTCCACCCATTGGAGAAAAGCGGTGGCTCCACCTTCTGCAGTAATTATGCTACATAATGTGCAAAGGAACCATTTTGCTAAAAATGTTTCCTAGCAATGCCCTGCAAGTGCTCGTCCCCTTAGAGAAAGCTTGGTTCTCTCCCACATCCGCAAGCACCTCTTTTTTTGTAATGGCAAAACAGTGTTGTTGAGTCCTCTCTATGATTCATGCCGTCCAACATCCTTCACAGGAATGACTTTGAGTCATTGGTGGCTCTCAAGTGGCTGAGTGGTGTTGCCATTGACCCGGTTTTTTAAAGTGAGTGTATGTGTGCATGTTTAGGTGAGTGTTTTTTATGGAGCCAGATCAGTCTCAAAAATAATGCATTCACCAAATTAAATTTATTGTACATGGACAGCACAATTCGTAAATTCAAAAGGCTATTTATATTTATGCACAAGTCCAATTGGTAAATTTAATACACAATTCATAAATGCACAAATCCCATTTGTAAATTTAAGACGCAATTCATAAACACACAAATCCAATTCGGAAATTCAAGACACAATTCTTGAACGCACAAATCCAATTCGGAAATTCAAGACACAATTCTTGAACGCACAAATCCAATTCGGAAATTCAAGACACAATTCTTGAACGCACAAATCCAATTTCGAAATTTCATACGCAATTCGTAAACACACAAATTCAGTTTGTAAGTTTAAGACGGAATTCATAAACACACAAATCCAGTTTGTAAATTTGAGACTTGATTCGTAAATGCACAAATCCACTTCGTAAATTTAAGACACAATTCGTAAACACACAAATCCAGTTAGTGAATTTAAGACCCAATTTGTAAACGCACAAATCCAATTAGGAAATTCAAGAAGCGATTCATGAACGCACAAATCCAATTCGTAAATTTAAGACACAATTCGTAAACACACAAATCCAGTTAGTGAATTTAAGACGCAATTTGTAAACGCACAAATTCAATTAGGAAATTCAGGACGCAATTCCTGGACGCACAAATCCAATTGGGAAATTCAAGACGCAATTTATGTACGCACAAATCCAATTCGGAAATTCAACACACAATTCAAAAATGCACAAATCCAATTAATAAATTTAAGACGCAATTCATAAACACACAAATCCAATTAATTTGGGGAAATATTTAGATTTTACCTTTTACTATTGAATTTTTGTATTCACAGATTGTGTTTTGTATTTATGAATTGGATTTTGTACATGTAAATTGTGCTGTGCGTGTATGAATTTCATTTTGTAAAAGTATTATTTTTAGGACAGATCTGGCTCTGTATTTTTGGCAGATTGTGTCATTGGTGTGTAAAGCACCCATCTGTAATGGCCTGAAATGTAGGACATAGTAGAAGTGGAAGATGGGTATTTGCCGCTATGGAAGCCATGCTCTGCGTGTGCTAGTTCATTCTGGATGTCAGTGTTTCTGCAGGATGGATGCTGTGCATCCCTGATCAGCTTGTCTTTCACAGTACCTATTGTTTAAACACATTCTGAAGTCAGCTAGTGTCCCCTTATGTAGTTGAATGACACTCCAGAGAAATTGTGAGGACTCAAAGCTTCAGAAAAGATGAAAATCACCATAAATTGTGATTAATGACTCTCGTTTCAGTTTGTTTCTAACAGAGGTAGCCCGAATGTGATCAGTTGATTCTCGTTCATTAATTGGCTGGAAATTAGTAGCTGGTATGTTCTTCAAAAATTATTTTATGTTCCACACAGTAAAGAAAGCCATATTGGACAGACATAGTGATAAGTAAACAGTGTGCTAGAATTAATTTTTTAACGAAGGTTCTTATGGTTAATGATGAATTTTGGACTAATTTGTTCATCGTTATGTTGTCTTCGAGTGTTCGTCACTTAAATCAGAAATCAGAGGAAGGTGTGGAGAGAATATGGAGGGGTCAAAATGTATTTTTGAAAATAGTGTCTGGTCTTCTCTCTTTACTGTCTTGCTAACTATAACCCTGATTTGTCCAGCAATCTGTCATTAATGTATATTTTAAATTATTATATAAGCCAAAATAAATTTGCTAGAATGATTGACTTGAGTTTTTGCCTCTGCTCTTCTTCTACATTCTTTTGGGGTTAAACATCTACACAAATAAAACAAAAACAATAGTGTTGGCTTTGACTGTTCCATGAAGAACCTTTTATATTCGTGGAAACTGCATTTAACAAAAGTCTTTATGGTGTAAAATCTTTTTAAATCATTAAAACGTTCATTACACTGAGGATCCAAGAACTGCTGACTGAAAGTTTTTTGGGGTGCGAGGCTCCCAAAATGTTTTGTTTTTTTACATGGCACTATTGTAACATGGCATACATTTCTGAAGTTGTGATATTTTTAAGAGTTCTCTCTTTTTGCTTACAGCTGCATTTTGATCTGATTTATGTCACTGGGATTAATTATCAGGGATGAAGCTCATTTTGTGTATGTGAGAGAGGGAGAGAGTCCTCGTATGGCCTTAGCAGGATTAAAGGTTTGGATAAATGGTTTTACTCTGTCATCCCTTATAATCACTGACTATTTTACAGATACGTGGACACACACATCCTTCATTAGGTTTTGAGCTTTGTACTTTTTGTCATTTTCCTCTGCTAGTGTAACAAACAATCAATCTTACCTTACAGTCATCTGCAAGATAATGTTCAAAAAGGCTTTAGGTTTTAATTAAGTTTCAGACAAGCTGCTTAGATGCATAAACTTGCTCTTTTTTTTAAAACTACTTCAAAACAACCCTTTTTTTTACCCCCCAAAAATGTTTGGATCGCATTTCGCACTTCTAATGTCTCTAGTTAACACACACAATGCTGTTTTTTTCAACGCATCCCATCATTTCTAAAATATCAGCCTTTAACAAATGGTTAATATGTCAGTTTAAGGTAAAATTATACCTGAATTGATACACATACTATGAAAAATCTGAAAATATGAAGTGTAAGATCAATTTATTTAAAAAAATTTTTTTGAAGTATGCCATAACATATTTCTCATTTAATATTAACTTTCTTACCATTTTTTTTACAATAAAGCCAAAATCAAGTGTAGTAGTGCAACAGAATTATGTTTGTTAGATTTTATTTTTTTGTAAATTAACAATGCTGTGTGTGTGTAAACCATTATTTAAAACAGTCAGTCTTCAAATGACTTTAACAGTCATTATTCAAAACGGTAAAAACATGGTCAACCGTTTGACAGAGGGGCAGTCAAAGAGTTAACACAGAGACTAAACATTTGATAAGATTTCAGTTTAAGCCAGTTACACCCCAGTTGCACAGAGGACGTCTCATGGTTGAGTTTTCATCGTCCTGTCACGTCCTCAGTCCAAGCTGTCAATGCTTGTTGCACACTGGAGAATCTTTTTGTTTAAAGAATGAAAATGTCTTAAAGAAAAACTAAAACACTCTGACTTAAATATTTGCTGCCCTTCCAAAAAGTTATTGTTAGTAATGTTGAGTGTTTTGTGTCAGCTTTGATTAATTTAATGCAAAATTCCAGAAGCATAGTATTAATTTCTTGAACAATCTCAAACCTATGAATTATAACATATAAAGTTATGGAATCATGAACAACGAATCAACATATTAGAATTATTTCTATATAGGATCATGAAATAAAAGACATTTTAAAACATTTATTCATATTGAAAACAATAGCATTTATTGTTATAAATTGCACAACATTTTCCTTTTGGCTATTTTGGTCAAATAAATGCAGCTTTTGGCTGATGCACTGATAGAAAACACATTTTTCAAAAACATTTTTACTGTCCTTTTGGGATCAAAAGCAGAAACAACATAATCTCTTTTCATCAGTATAAAATGCATTGGGCACTTAGCTAGTCTGTTGGGATGAGCCTATTGTTTTAAATTGAACATTTGAGAAAGTAACTATATTTGCTTCACAAACCATTCAGTGTAATCTTATATTTAGATAAAAAGGTGAGACGTTATTTTCAAAGTGCAAGTGATTCAGATCAGATCTGTTCATTCAGCCAGTTATTTTAAGTTAGTTGAAACCCATGTAAGACACCAATTCACAAAACTCTCTTGAAGATATTCCTTCAAAATCAAGGCCAACTGGAGTTCCCAAATGTCCCGTCATACTTTATCTCCCTACACAACGAAGCTGAAGAGAGCCAGCGAAAAGAGGAGGACGACGGGAGTTTTAAGGGCTGAGCTTCCACCTTCCACTGGCTGTTTGGTAGGCACTGCTGCCACTGGTACCACTGCACCCACTGTACTCTGACTCTGGCTCGAGCCAACCACTGGCTTTACTGTTGTTGTTGTCGCTGATGTTGCTTTCCTTCTGTTTTCCAGCACTGCTCCTGATTCTTGATCTGCTGCTGCACCCTCCAGCGCCTCGAACCACTGGCACCGGAAGTCCTTCTTCCAGAGGTCAATGTAAGCTGTGGGAAGCTCGCCGGTGGCCCGCACACCTTCTGCCCCATTTGGGATCAGCATAAAGTGAGCTGAGGGAAGATGCAGGTATGTGGGGTCCTCGGGTTTCTTGCGCACACATCGTCCGCGGCCTTGGCACAGAGAGACCCCGCAGAGACGTGCTGCTGTGGTCACATTGACCGAGTAAGGGCCGAGAACCTGACGAACATATGAGCCAAACTCTGAGCAGGATTTCTGCAGGAGACACAGGAGGAAATTATACAGCAAAATCAACCAACGATTTGAAAGTTTTGGCGTCAGTACAATTTATAGGCTAAACATTTTTGAAAGAAGCGCTTCATTTCATTGCCTCAGCATTGTTGAACTTATCTGATGCAAAATCCAGTCAAAACATCTTTATTAACTTTAAAATGGCTTGATTTTAAAATATAATTTAGTCTTGGGATCTGTGCCCCAGCAAGCATTTTTTTGTTTTTAAAAAGATGTCTAATAAATGTCTAATAGACGTCTAAACATAGTCATCTTCGCTAAAACAAGGCTAAACTTGGGCTGTCTGTGAAAATCTAATAGAGGTCTAAGAATAGTCCAAAACTAGACTAGTCATCAAATAAACAGAAATGAATGACTATACATATAAAGTCTGTCTGTTTGACAGATTTTTTTGCCTATTCTTTGAGGTCTATTAGATTTAGTAGAGATTTAAAATCAAGTTTAGCCTTGTTTTATCCAAGCTGTCTACGTTTAGATGTCTATTAGACTTCTCTTAAACAAAATTGTTTGCTGGGAATGGTAAAAATAGTTGTGATGCTTCATTTTATGTGCAAGAACATTTATTTCAGGACATTATTTATGTGAGATAGAAATCTTTCTTAACATGTTTCGAGCCATTTCTGATCAATAAAAAAAGTCAAACATTAAGTGTAAACTAAACGATTACCTGTGTTTTAACTGCTAATGATTTTTCCCATATAATGACTCCAGATGCTCCCATAGCAGCACTCTCTCCAATTGTATTCACCAGGTCAGCCTGTAAATCATACAGTACATACATATTTATAGAAGAAACACCAATGACTCTTAAAATTAGCTGTTCACCAATGTCTGTTTTAATATTAGTTGTTCACCAATGTCTTTTAATGTTCGTTGTTCCACTAAGCAGGTATCATGATAAGACATGAACTATTTACAGTCCTACATTTACAACTAATATATATAAATATATATTTATAACTTATATTAAATGAGGAAAGAAATAAGACTTTCAAAACGGTCAGTTTTGTTTATAGATATAATTCAAATCAACAACACAACTATCCTAATTTGTGTTTTTAGTCCGAATCATGTCAAACATGGCACATCTCCTTTTAAAATCTGTTTCCTCATTAGAGTTGAAAAAAGTCTAAATTCATATATTGTCACACCTTTAAAAGTTCATCAGTGTGAATCTATTGACACTTGCTCAAAGCTTTTGATTCATGGGCATTTTCCTATTTATTCAATTGCAATCGGAGACCACCTGGGAAAACTAGGATGCTGTTGGAAGTGGTGTTAGTGAGGCCAGTAGGGTGTGTTCAACTTGCGGTCTGCGTGAGTCCTAATGTCCCAGTAAAATAAAGGGGACACCAGAGATTGGGGACTCGAGTCACATGACTTGACTCAAATCAGACTTAAGTCGCAAAATTTAGGACTTGAGACTTGCTTGACAAATATCTATAAAAGACTCGACTTGACTGTCATGACTTGAGACTTGACTTGAACTTGAGTTAAATAACTCAAAATAACTAGTTTTGGTTAAATAAATACCTGTTTGTTATATATTATGCATTGCATACAACACCAAAAGTTATATTTGTAAATATAAATTGCAAAAGAAATTGGAAAAGTTGAAAAATCAACATCATTTTGATTGACTTGAAAGCGACTTGCTAGACCAAGCTACTTTATGGCTTGACTTGAGATAAGCAGTGACTCGACTTGACTTGAGTCTGACAAAAAGTGACTTGACTTGCTTGAGACTTAAAGGTTATGACTTGAGACTTGTGACTTGCACTTGTGTGACTTACTCAAACCTCTGGGGGACACTATACTGTCAGTGAGCACCGTCTTTCGAATGAGACGTTAAACCGAGGTCTTGACTCGCTGTGGTCATTAAAAATCCCATGGCATTTCTAGTAAAGAGCAGGGCTTGTAATCCCAGTGTCATGGCCTTCCAATCATCCCCATCCAACGAATTGGCTCTAGCATTGTCTCTCCACTCCACCAATAACTGGTGCCAGTGTACTGTGGCTGCCATCGCATCATCCAAGTGGATGCTGCTCACTGGCGGTGGCGTGGAGAGACCCCCCTTATGACTGTGAAGTGCTTTGAATGTATGGCAAAACACGATAAATGCGCTATATAAACACTTATTACTTACTTGCTTTTGAATCCTTGATTATTGGCTAATGCTTGATGCTGTAAAGTTTATCCAAGTTACTTTTACGCTATTTTTTATTAGCTTGAAACAATACGTTGTCTGATTTGGTCATGAAAATTACAGTACAAAAACAAGGTAACGAGCAGCTACTTTGTTATTTTAGAGACGTTTTCTATATTTATAATTTATTGCACAATGTATTGTTTGAGAAATTTTCGTTGTTAAATTTTCGACATCAAAAGATTTTAGATTAGAGGTATAATAATACAACAGATGCAAACTATTTATTACCTCTGAGAGGAAGGAGTTGGAAGAAGTGTAAACGATTTTGATCATCGGAAACACAGGAAGATCAGATGTAGTCCCCGCAAGAGCTGCCACTCTCAAAGCTTCTCTGATCTGATTGGTTGAATAAAGCCACGCCCCTTTGGTGCCCTCTGGCAGCTTCTCCAGTGAGAGGACGGGATACAGGGCTCCGCTTCGCTTCCACAGCCACATCAGCTCATCATTAAGGGCCATTTCCGCCGCAGGACACCGGCCTGTGTAGTTGGCTAATGCCATCTGGGTGGGGTCAAAGTTATAGCAGTTAGGATATGGAGCCATGCCCCATAATCTCTGTGGGCGGAGCCTCTTCACCTCCCGCAGGGTTTCCATCATTATGGACTGTGCTGCTGCCTCAAAGTCAACCTAACGTGAAATCACATAATATAATTGGTTAATACAGTTGAATGCAGAATGATAGGCTGTATGATAGGCAGTATTGCCCCTATACTATTAAATAGTGCACTATTTCAGGGAGCAGCTATTTGTAGTGGTGTCTGAAACCATAGTGGACATTCTGAAGTGCGCTCAATCAATCCCACAATGCCCTACAATAATGAGTGTACAACATAAAGTAACATTTGTATACATGACAAATCAAAATACTTTGTTTCATACTATTAGACCGCTCGCTGAGTGTTCCTTCGTTTTTATTCAATCATCTAATGGACTACATTTGTGGACTGCTGTAGGGAATAGTGAATGAGTGTATAAGGAGTGATTTTGTATACAGCTTTAGTTTCTATACTTTATTAAAATGTCATCACCTGAGACCATTTCTCCACTTCCTCTACACTCCAATCTGGAAAAAATCCTCGGAGAAGAGCTCTCGACTCAACAAGGTACTTTGCTTTATTTTCTCTGTTCCTGTTCCACTGAGGTGCCCACTCCTGCCAGCGCAGAATCCCCAGCCCAGGTGCTCCTGCCTGGGGTAATGAGACAGTCAGGTCCCCCTCCACCCTCTGGAGGTGAAGGTCAAGGCTGGTGTGTTGTGGTAGGCCTCCGTTGACAGGACGATCCTGCACAGTGAAATATGGATAAAGTCCGAGCGTGTCTTCATAAAATATTGCCACACGACCTTCCCACTCCATCCCAAATGCAGCTGGGTTTGGCCGGCCCAAACAGTCTTTATCTGGAACCCCCCAAAGCACCAGGAAGGGCTGGCCCGCAAGGAGAGGGGCCCGGGAAGGACCACAGAAACGTGCAGGAATGAAGAAACAGAGATAAAGGAATGTAAGAGAAAGGGAGGGGAGGATGAACATGCGCTGTCTTCCAGCCATGGAGCTGAGCAAGAGGTTTCAGGGCCCCTCACCCCAAAACTCACACAGAAGCCACCTTGAAGAGATATAATGTCTGTGGAGAAAAAGAGGACAACAGAAATGTTTTGGTTATGTTTATAAGTCTTTCTGGTGTGTTAATTTTGAAAATCATACGATTTTTTAGTTTTTGGTTTCTAGAATAATTCAGCGTTAACCAGGACAACATTCCCTTGGTAAAGAGAACAATATATGCTAATTAAACATGTAGGTCATTGCTATGGCGTTTTCGGTATGTTCCCAGAATGTTCACAAGTAACCAAATGGGTTGTGTGCTTATAATTACATTTGGTTTAGCTTTTTTTTTTTAATTACAGCTCCTTATCTGTCTAAATAAATGAGCAAACTAGCAGCTTTAGGTAAAACAATTTATCAGAACTTTTGCGTGTTGACATCGGAGCACGCCATTAAATACATTTTATAGCCTACTGTAAAAAAAAAAAAACTCAGGAAAAAAAAAAAGATTAAGGAAATGTGTGACCACCAGGCCCTATTTACCAACAGAAAAGAAATGCGACGCTACGTCACAGAAACAAAGTGAGACGCTTTGGGATAATTAATCGCTAAAAGGATTCATTAGTGCTGCCCACATTCAGTGCTAATCACTCTTAAAGTGTACTAATACGACTCTGTAGTTGACGAGCTTGTCAACAGGTGGCGCCAGAGCAACTCATAACTCTGGCGCAACAAATTTGTGCATTTATCCGTCGATATACTTTAAAAAAATACATAAGTTATGCATTCATTCATTTCCTCTCCTTTACACGGTAGTTACAATTTTATTCACAGTAGAACCTTTTTAATAGACTGTTTTCTAATTGTTTTCATAGAAAATACATTAGACTGCAGGCTGCAAATGTTTTTAAACTAACCTAAAATGGATTAGCTAGTCTCCCAGCATGTCCAGGGTTGTTGGTGTGCTTTTTGACCACTTTTGCTGGTAGAACTGAGAGAACAGCTTGGTCGTATACTAAATCAGCTGAGCTTCACAAACACCAGCATGGAAAAAACAGCAAACCTGCTGAAAAGAAAAGCAACAAAAATTCTCGTCTAAATAGACCAACGACTATGCGTGGGTGCATTTTTTTGCAGTAACAGTTAGCTAAAAATGCACAAAATTATACATTTTTTTTTCTTTCATGCCAAAAAAGTTGTGCATTGTTGTACTCAAATTTTGATTGTTAATGTGCATTGCTTAACACAATTTAGACAATTTTAAAGGCGATTTTCTCAGCATTTTTTATCCCTAAGATTCCAGATTTTCAAATAGTTATATTGTTCTCCAAATATTTTCCTTTTTTAAAGTGTACATCAATGCAAATCCCATTTATCATGATGAATCTCTCTCTATATAAAAAAAAGTTACACTTATGACTGATTTTGTGCTCCATGGTCTCAAATGGTTAATGATATTTTTATTGGTTTTAAATGTAACTGTAATGGTACCGTGGGTAATTTGTTTTTTGTATTGGGGCTATGTTAACACCACAAATTCTAATTGAATATATCACAAAACACATTTGAAACTATTAAAAATGTGCTGGTTTGAATGGTTATCAGATGATGGTTTATTTTGTTTTAATATGTATTTGAAGAAGAAACTCTGAAGTGTCGTTTTGTTCCCCATTCATATAGGATTAATTCATTTCTTGGAGGAAAACAATGAAGCATGTCTTTATAAACAGTTTATGGCACAAAATACCACAGTAAGTAGAGTTATTCACCCCAAAATAACTCATTTAGCCATCATCCACTTGTTCAAGACTTATTTGAGTTTAATTATTCTGTTAAACACAAAAAATAATGGAGAAAAAAGATGAGTAAATTACCATTTTTAGATGAACAATCCTTTTAATACTTTTCTACTTTAATACTAACTATACTCGTCCTGTTTCATTAATTTATTATGGTTTAGAAAAGCTAACAAGGTCTATTGTAACTCTTAAGCATATCAAGTCATGTGTGTGTGTGTGTGTGGAAAGGAATTTAAAGCTCTTCTTTTGTGGGAGAATAACTCAGCTGAATGAAAGTGTACCTATTTTACGCTATAGTGCTTGTTCTGAAGTGATTTTGACCGCACAGCCTTGCCAGATAATAGCTGTGACACACACACACACACACACACACACACACACACATACACACACACACACACACACACACACACACACACAGAGGAGAGCCAGTTATAAATGTGTAATGAACTGAATGCAAAGAACTCTTTCTGAATCAAACGAGTGGCTTTCTCTGAATAGGCTGTCTGAAATTGAAACTGAAGCACCTGCGAGCTACGCTGTCATCCTCGCACATTAAAGAAGCCGTGTCGTTTCTTATCCTGTTAAAGTTGGCAATGTCAAAGCCAGCTTTTGTTGTTAGGTGTGATAGTTTTAGGCCAATTCCTGCTTTCAAGGAAGCGGTGGAGAATTGACTTAAGCTTCGTGATGCCAATTGTAGAGTTTAGCTTTTTTAACTAATAGATTGTTTATTTTTATTCGCAGGTGCTTGAAAAGAAGGGATCACAGGGCTGGATTGTGTTACTCACCTCTGCATTGGCAGGTCAGATGTGTGCGCCTTCAGGTCAAAGAATCCAGAAGGAAAGGTTGAAATGAACAGGGCTCCTCTGGATGGGAGATAATAAGAAATGATTGTCTCTGTACAGGTTGAACTGATCGGGTGTCCTGGCTCAGAATAGGAAGCCACAGACGGGAGAGACTTCAGCCCAACCATGAGGGATGAGATGTCCTGACAAAAGGATGGATGAAGTGACAGAAGGAGGAAATAGAGAGGAAAGCAGGCTACCTCACCTTCACCAGGGTAATCTGTTAGTATAAGCAGGGTCACCACGGACCATGACAATCACATGATCAGACTCACCGTAATCCCTTAATCCAGCACTCCCTCCCAAACAGCAAACACACCTAGAGTCAAAACATGCGCACACATACACATCCATGCACACGCTCATCATAAAGCAGGCATAATGTGCATAACTGTGTCATAGTGGCTCAAGTGAACTATGACACTGATGATATTTTCCTGAATAATTTTCCACGTCACAAAATTTAGGTTTTACGTTTGACCCTCATATTAGACAATAACTTAATTTTTTGTAACATGAGCCAATGAATTTAGTAATAAATGAAATAATTTCTGGATTCCAGCTCACAGAAATACACAAATCTCCCCATTTTTCTGCATAGTAGTGAATGTATTTTCTTTTCAGATATGCATCTTTTGCAGAGTGAAACAAAAACTAAATCAGTTTGCACACTAGTAAGTAACTTTGATCAAATATAGAAAATGGTGACTCACACGATGCAAAATTTAAATGAAAATATGGAAATGTGTCAGATGTATTGCTTGAATTCAGTGCAAATTTCTATGAAAGTGCCTGCCAAATACATTTATAATAATAATATTTTTTTCTTTTTTCGTTGCTGTCAGTTTTCTAATTAGTTTTCCAAAGTCTTATTTACTGAAACGGATTATTGATAAGATTATTCGCAATTATATCATTCAAACGTAATCTGGCATAATCCTGAAGTCTCTGTTGGGATTACTTCAGATAATACAAGAGAAAGATTTGGTTTTTGTGCCTGGTGTCTTTTATATAAACTGATTATTTTATGTAAACATGAAAATGTTAAGTAACGTGTTTTTGGTGTCTAATCCCTCAGTACTTTTTGAGAGTAAACATGAACGCATTAAAATGATCATTAATGAAAAAGACATGTACAGTGTAACCTGATATTTATCAAAGAACCCTGAAAAAACCCCACATGCATTTAAGACAAAAAATAAATCCAGATTTTGCTATTATAGGACATATATTATAGGAATATTACAATTTAATATATATTAAAAATAAATTAGTTATTTGAAATGGTAAATATTTAAAATAGTAATATATATTTACGGTGGCTTCACTGGGACACAGTGTGCAGCACAATCGCCTCAGAGCAAGAAGGTCACTGGTTCAAGCCTTGGCTGGGTCAGTAGGCATTTCTGTCTCAGTTTTGATGTTCTTCCTGTGTTGGCGTGGGTTTCCTCCGGGTGCTCCCGTTTCCCTCACATTGGTCGTAGTGTGTGTGTGTGAATTTGAGAGTGTATGGTAGATAAGTATGAGAGTGATATGCTAGATAAGTTGGTGGTTCATTCCGTTGTGGTGACCCCTAATTAATAAAAAGACTAAATTTATTTATCTATATCTCCTTTAAATTAATGTTTTCTACAGGATGATTTACTATAGGCTAATATATTTGTGCATATACATTATATTAGACAATTCACTAAAAATAGCTGTTCATTAACAGTTTCTATATTTTGTGGTTCACAAATGTTTTCTATTTATTGACGATGGTGAACTGCGTTATGGGATGTTGGTCTCTGCTTTGTCGACTTTTGATGTTGAAAATTCAAAATACAACAGTTTAACAAAATAACTTTTTTGACATGGGACTGAGCCAAAAAAGAAAATAATGAATGAATGAAATAACAGAAAATGTACTTTTTAGTTTATTACAACATTTTCATTTTCTTTTCGGCTTAGTCCCTTTATTAATCTGGGGTCGCCACAGCGGAATGAACCGTCAACTGATCCAGCATATGTTTTACGCAGCGGATGCCTCTCAGCTGCAATCCGTCACTGGGAAACATCCATACACACTCATACACAAACATACACCACAGACAATTTAGCTTACCCAATTCATCTGTACCACATGTTTTTTAGACTTGTGGGGGAAACCGGAGCACTCGGCGGAAACCCACGCCAACACGAGGAAAACATGCAAACCCCACACAGAAATGCAAACTGACTCAGCCGGGGCTCGAACCAGCAATCTTCTTGCTGTGAGGCGATTGTGCTCATTTTATATTTTCTATTCAAGATTATTATTAAGGTTATAATTAAAGGTAATTATTATTTTCGAACCAGCGACCTTCCTGCTGTGAGACGAACGTACTACCCACTGCGCCACCGTGCAGCCCTTATTAAAACGTTTTTGTACCATAATACCCAACACCAACCCAGATTATATATCAGTGTAAACTATTAAAAATGGTAATAAAATTCAAAATTTCAGACGCTTTGAGATTAAAGGTTGTTGGAAGAAGGATCAAGGAACCATAATGCAATTAAAAAGCATAAATAAATATGGAAGCAAAAAAAGTAAAGACATCACTTACAAAATACTGGAAACTGCTAATTTATGTATATTTTTTTACTGTGTAGGAAAGCCAAAACTGAAACTAATCTAACAAAAAATGTAAGATCACAGTCCAGACATGAGTACACCCAAATTAATATGGTATAAATAATAATATATATAAAAACAAAAAGTGAAAAAACTGAGATGAATCAGCAGTTTTTGCATTAAATTGTATGAATTTAAACATATCTTTCTATTCAGAAAATTGTCCAAACTCTTATTTTAATGCATATAATGACAGTTTTAATATATTTTTTATATTTATATATTTATATTTTAATGGATAAAATGACCACATACTATATTAGCTTACTTAGGCTTAATTAGGTTAGTTAGACAAGTTAAGGTTATTAGGCAAGTCATTGTATAACAGTGGTTTGTTCTGTAGACAATTGAACAAAAAATAGCTTAAAGGGCTAATAATGTTGACTTTTAAAATGTTTTATAATAAGATGAAAACTAATTTAATTCTACCTGAAATGAAACAATCAGACTTTCTCCAGCAGAAAAAAATTACAGGAAATACTGTAAAAATGTTTATGCTCTGGTAAACATATATATTTTAATAAGGAAAAAAATAGGACTAATAATTGTGACTTTATATTTACATTTAGTCATTTAGCAGACGCTTTTATCCAAAGCGACTTACAAATGAGGACAAGTAGGCAATTTACACAACTAAGAGCAACAATGAATAAGTGCTATAGGCAAGTTACAGGTCTGGAAAGTCTAAGGGAAGTATTAGTAGTATTAGTATTTTTTTTTTTTTTTTTTTGGGTACAGTTAGTGTGATATTCAGAGAGGCAATTGCAGATTAGGAAGTGAAGTGGAGACAATTCATATTGTATTATATGGTATTTAATAGATCTGATTCCCTAATTTTTCTGAATGATCATACTGAACCGTTTGTGTCAAACCTGAAGCGAAGGCACTGCTTTTGGCTATTATCTAAATCTACCCATTAGCTTTGTTTTTATACATTTCATGCCATCCAGTTATCAGTTGTGTATTCGTGTTATGTGCTTGCAGATTTGTAACCTGGTCAAGGTTTTGTGTGTGCATATGTTTAGTTGAGATTATCTGTTTGAGGTATCTAAGGTGATGCCTTCTCTCCAGGTCCGTCGCCATGGCAACGGCTCAGATGAGTCCGGCCCAGACGGCGGATAAGGGTTAAGGATGCGTGTATGTGTGTGTGTGTGTTTGTATGCTGTTAATGGTTTGTACACAGACATCCAGTTTGACAGATGTGTGTGTGTAGTTTTGGTTTGCTAAGCCTGACCTTTATTTCAGCGCATATTTGATGCTTGGTTTGATTGAACACTGATGATATGAAAAGTGATTTAGCGAAGACAGATAATCAGTAAACAACAATGACTCACCGCAAGGCGTAAGAACGAGATTGTTGTCAAGAATTCACACTGTGTGATAATGTGTCAAACTAGCTCACTCGTTATTTCCTGCTGTCTCTGTTAATGCAGATGGAAACAGGTGTGGAGGCTTTGGATTTGACCTCGGTCACCCCACTGAGTCAATGTAAACACCTCTAACTCCAATTTATTCTCTAAGTCCTACTTTTCACACAATCGCTGCTCATGTGTTTCTGCCAGTGGCTTGCATTTAGAATTAAAGCAATTCAATTCTGTTTTTGTTTTTTGTTTTTTGTTTAAACATCACTTTATTTGCATCAGTGGTTTCATGAAGAAACTGTAACTTCTGAAGAACATTAGCATACTTAGTTCTAGTGTCACGGTAAAAGATTCTTTACAATATAACTTTTAATGTGAGTGTGTGTAGGGTTTGTGGAGATTGGAAATCTTGATCATGACTTTATCACCCTACCAAACAGCATACTGCACATACCTTTCTCAGTATTAAGACCCTTTAACCAGCATTTTGGATGTGTGATTGAAACACGTTCTGCTTTTCATAGACATATTTGTGTCATACCAGGTAAATGTGCTAGAGGTGTGACTTGTACAGTATCTGCTAAAACATTGCTAGATACTTAGAATTGTGTGAATGTGAGTAAGAACTTCATGTGTGAATGTGAGGAAGAAACAATTTGTGACTGGTATCTGGGTGATAAATTCACCGCTATTCTTGAACCTTTGAACGGCAGGTTCAGCAGGTCAATCACTTTAATTAACAGATGGACCAGATGATTGTGTCTGAGTGTGTGTGTGTGTGTGTGTGTGTGTGTGTGTGCGTGTGCGTGTGCGTGTGCGTGTGCGTGTGCGTGTGCGTGTGTGTGTGTGTGTGTGTGAGTGATTACAGATTTGGCTTTACTTTTGATGACCATTTGCTTGAAATTTTAATTTTGAAAAGATTTGGAACTGCTGAAAGGACATTTGAACTGCTCCTTGCTGTTTTAAAGACTCACAAATCATGCTTTACTTCAAAAGTAGAAGGTAACCGGTTCCTTTGAGTGTGAAGGACATGAAATAAATTTTATTATTTTAAAGTTGTTTAGTTTGATTAAAATGCAAAGGGAGGAAGTAATTTTCGGTGGTTATGATGCCATAAATGCCGTTGACAATGTTTAACTTACATTGAACCTAGAACATTCCTTTAACCTAAACCTCAAACCAACAAGACTTTATCTCAGACCTAGCTTCAGACTTCTGTTTAAAA